ACAAACAACCAAACAAACAAACAAGCAAGCAAACAACCAAACAACCAAACAAACAAACAACCAAACAACCAAACAAGCAAGCAAACAGACAAACAACCAAACAAACAAACAAGCAAGCAAACAACCAAACAAACAACCAAACAAACAAACAAACACACACTTGACACACATCTTCTCTGGGTCTCGAACTCGTGTCTCGCTCCTCACGGACCCCTTGCACCACCTTGTATAGTTGTGGTTGGTTGGAACCGGCGCGCGACACGTGATGTTCTGGTGGCCAATGGCTTGAGAAGGTACAACATGGTGCATAAAGCAACAAAATGCTAATCAGCAAACATATGCAAATAGCATATCGGTGGTGATCCTCTTGTTCACGTTCAGAAGTCTTGATAATGATCTTGGCTTGAAGCCGTTGCCATTCTCTATCCCATCCGCTGGATGGTACCATGCTAATCAGCAGGTGGATCCTGCTACTACGCACTATCCGGCAACAAATACTTAGGTCATGCACAAACCTGCAGGTCACCCAGATCCAACCTACTGAATATCCGCACAAATCCAACATGATCTCCATGCGAGGTCCATGTCATGTTCAGGATCTCCAGCTTCTCTGAGTCTCTTGACTCGTCGTCTTCTCCCAAAAACAAACACATGGGACTTGTTCTTTCGCCCCTCGACCGACGAAACAGCCCTTTTTTGGGGGTCTACGGAGTAACGAACGGGTAGCGGTTTCCCTCCGAAAAAAAGGCGGAATTTCTGCCCGAGTCTCCAGCATCCCATGGTGCGGATGATTGATGAACCTCAGACATCGAAGACATCGTCGCACAGGGGTTTGGCGTGGAGGTCGGCAGGGAGGGGTGCAGTGGCTCGATGTGCTTGGTTCATGGTGTCGAATTAAAGACTGAAGTCTCTTGAGTTGGTAGAATGTATTAAGATCTGGTAGAAGTGCATGAAACCGAAGAAACGTTGTCAGATTTATCATGCCAGAGTTGGCTTTAGACCAGGTCTCTGTGGCCCAGAGGTGTGGCTGAGTGTTTCTCTGGAAAAAATAACAGGCTAACCCTCTTCATACTTTTGCATCCTGTTTCTATCTGTTCATATTTAGTGGGGAAACCAATCCCCCGAAAACACACTAAGGTTATCCACAGACTGGGTAGTAGTAGGTTATATACAATGTTCCTTTCTTCCCTTCCTCCAGTTTCCGCTCTTCATACTGGACGGCAGGGCGTGGCCAGGAACGGCCGCGTGGTACCATGGCCGTCCGGTCCATGGGTCTGTTCATGGTTGAGATGGAGATCAGCTTGGTTCTCAGCTTCACTCCGGACCAGCGACGATCGACCGATCTGAAACACAGGTACGAACTTCCCGTTTTTCCACACCGAAGCGATGGGCGCGCGATGGCGTGAAGCGAGGGGCGCCCCGTCTGAACAGACCTGTCGACGTATACGCGACGGAGTGTTTGGGATATTCCATGGAGGTGTGACAGACATGGAGTGTTTGGGATATATAGATTACCCAAGAACTGGCGCCGACCATGTTCAAAAACCAAAAACAACAACCACTGGGCATAGCTGGGACCATCTTCTAGCAGTCCTTTGGGCAAGCCATTTACTGACAAACTGGCCTATCACTCAACAAAGTGACATCCAGCAGTTCAGTTCCCATGTGGGGGGTGAAATCGATAGTATCACTTGGGTCTATCATGGTCTATCCTACTGTAAAATCAGAGCCCATCCAGGATGATGTTGGTTCAGTTGCAGGCTGACATCTCTCAGTCTCGTGATGGTCCTGGTGATGTTCTTGTGAAACCCAACGACGGACTTCACAAGAACGGCCACCGAACGGACTTCACCCGTCTTCAGCATCGGATCGGACGTCCGCCGAAGCGATGCGAATTCGCGCGTCTTCGGGTCTGAACTGCTTGGGGTGTTGGATCCCCTTTTTGGAAAGATGTCTGCAATCTAAGGGGGCGCCGCCCGCCATCTAAGGGGCCTCCCGGCCGAACAAAGCGGGGTCTTTAACTCACAAAGCCGCCAACAAAGCCTGCCTCCCTTCAAACAGTGGTCCCCTTTTGGAGATGACCGGGGCAGGACTTCCACCTTCTCTTCACATGCTCGTTCGTTCCGGGACCCCACGGGGTCGGCGTCAACAACCCTTATATGCACAAGCAGCCCCTCTTCTCGGTCTGAAACTCGAATCCACCAAGCAGCTGCTGGATGTGATGCCCATCCGGTAACTTGTAGTTCCTCGATGTTTGGACCCTCCCAGTTCGCTTCAAACAAATCGGTGGGTGCCGCGTGTTGGTGCTGAGAGGTAAGTCCGAGTCCGGGAGAGGCCACGTGAGTGGGAAGCGCAGCAATTGAGTGAAACTGACCCATCCCTTCTCCTTTGCCCAAACCCTTCCGATCCATCTGGAATGTGCCACTCTCACGGCATTTGTCAGAAACCTCGCAGTCCTTCCAAAAGATTGAAAGGCCCTTGAAACGGGCACTGGCCTCCTATAAGAGCGTGCAACATTCATCCAAGGCGCACCAAGAAGTGCAAGAAGCCTCGGGCAGACTCCTCCGAATCATTCCTCAGCGTGCGAAGGCGCGCGAGGTCTTCGAAGAAGCGGCATCAAACGATGTGACACGGGTGTAACACCAGTAAAAACCAAAAAAACATGAAACAAACACAACATGAATATGAATGTTCCAATCACATCATATATCGTAAAACCATGGGTGTGTCTCTTACGGAAATAGGGAGACCCCGGAGACTTCACCGGACCTGAACCGACCTGCAGCGGCCCCGATTGGGGCCAGGGGTTCCCCGGGTCGGTTCGAGGCCGCCGACCAGTCGGCTGCTCTGTGGCGACACAAACGGAGCAACAAACACCGTTGGTTTCCCCGAAGTAGATGCTGTCAAAGGGCCGAGGCATACACTCTGTTGTGCCAATCAAAAGAGAGTTACAGGTGCCCAAGAATAACAAACATGGCTGCAGTTAGGACCTCAAACACAGCACCCCTTCACAGCTCATCCAAGTGGCTTCAAGCAGAGCTTCAGAACTTGAACGGCCCAGGGCCTTGGAAGTCGCAAGGTCGACGAGTCGCCAGGTCCGATGTAACGGTCCCCCGTTCGCCGGAAGCCGGAACCTGCCGGCGGAACGAGGCACAATCCTGAGGAACAATGCAACAGTTGAGTTTAGGCCATTAGCTAAATACCTCGAAGCCAAATTGACCTCTTTGGATACCGGGAACATAAAGAAAGAACCACTGCCAAAACGGGTTCGGTGGTCCCACCCGTGTGCAAAACACCACTGATCACCGAGACCTCCGGCGCGATCCGCGATCCGCTCTGCTCCGCTTCTGCGATGGAGGTGCTGCCCAAAGCAGCAGATCCAGGTAGGTGGGTGGTAGGTAGGATGATCTAGGAATCTAGGCATTGAACATGTACAACATTGTACAACGCTTCTGCTTCCAAAGCCAGAAATAGTCAGAAAGCCTCAAACCGCATCCAGGGTATACCTTGAAGGTGAGACACTTCGTTCCAATCTTCTATGGACCTCAACTTCTACGGCCGAGCTGCAGCCCGTTACTGAAAGTGGGGTTTTTGTTGCAGGACTTTCAGAGACACTTCTGCTGCAGGGAGACCTGGTACGGGACTCTTCGGAAGCAGCTACAGCAGCTACAACTGCTACCAAACTCCACTGTCTGGAGACAGGTCCTCTATAGAATTCACCCCAAAACACAAGGTAGGACACGCACACAACCAGCACGAAAACTTTTGTGGATGTCATGCCTGGAGCTAGCAAGACACATATCGTAACAATACCATACCCACATGGCGAGGAAATAGCTTACCATCCAAAGCTATCGGCGAAAGGGAAGACTTCTCAAGCATCTGCAAACCACATCTGAGTCACGCATCGCCACGCAAACACCGAACAGCCCAAGGGGCTGTAGCAAGGAGGACAGGTCGTTCGGCGGCATCACATTGGGCGGTATCATCGCCGTCATGGCCATGGGAAAATGAGCTGTGCGCCGGAACCCGCGCACGGAGACAGTCGTTGGTCTGTGTCTGTTTTGGCCTCGAAGTCCGACCGACCGACCTAACAAACAGGTAGAAAACAAAGACCAGTACAAGGACCTTCCAAGGGGTGTCTATAAATAGAGGTTAAGGGGCTGTCCCAAAACCACCTGTTGGAAGGTACTGGTAGATGAAATCATGTGAAAACCAAATGTGTGCGGCTCTTCCGCCGTTGCTGCTCTCTCTACTCCGAGATCAACAAAGAGTGCGGCTCGTCCGAGGAACACTGCGCTGTTCTGCAAAATGATCAAAAAATAACAGTTAAAAGTGTGCTTCGGAGTTCGTCAACTCATTCATGGCCCATCTGATTGGTAAATAGTATCCCTCTGATTGGTGTCCCACCTGGTTTGAATGAATGGGTTGTCTGATGTTGTCTGCTATTCTGATCCGAGAAACCTCGCGGCAGTCGCGCAGCTTCTTTGGAACTCACGCGGCCACGCGGCCCCCTCCGCTGCCACGCTGAACGGCCAAGCTCTATGACCCAAACCACACCTTTCTCAACAAGCACCGGCCATTCGGGGCAGTCGGATCTGGTTCACCACTCTTCACCGGTCACTACCCTACACCTCCAGTCGTACCTCCTCAGAAGGGATTTGGAGCCTGGCACCCACCTCAAACACATTCGAAACGAAGGTACTTGGAGGCCAAGGGCAGTAATCCAGTACAGTATACCATTCGACTCGAAACCCACCGGTCCGGCCGACGCTCCGTTCGAACGGAGGGTCCGACGCCTCTCGAGGCTCAGTGAAGACACGAAGAGCTGCCGTTCGTTCAGGTCGGCACCATCGGTGTGTAAAAAGGGCGGAAGCCCACCAGTAACTATCTATTTGGATCCATATGGATCCACAGGTTCGGCACGACTGCACCCTCCTCTGGCACCTACATAGCGGTGTCGAACACATCACCTGCTGAGAAGGTATGACTGGATCCATAGGGCAAACAAGTTGTATTATAATTGCATGTTGTTTTTTAGTTAATAATATAGTTGTTCTGTCATAGACCTTCAGAGTTGGTTTGCCTGTGTTGACCTCCATGAGATAATCTTGGAAACCACGTTCTCACCCAACACACACATGGAGTGTGCATGATCTTGCAAAAAAACATAGTAAATCCATGGTGGTTCACGATCTAGTATATTGATGTATATATATTATATTACTGCATTATACAAGTAATGTTAGATAATGTTAGAATTATTGGTACGCCGAAATGTCCCATTCACCCAAAAGCACGGTCGTGTAGACCGGTCGGCCCCGGCCTTCAGGCAGGAAGAGTGTGTCGTTCGCGTAGACCGGGCAGCCCTCGGTGAGGTTGTCATAGGCCTCGTGCGCGCACCGTGCACCGTGGAGCAACCGGGTCGACCGGAGAAGGCAACGAGGACCGGGTCGACTGCCAGTTCGCACCTTTTTTGCACCTGGGACATGTGAATTGACCGGAAAATAACAACAAGAAACAAACTGGCACGACTGTACCCATGTTCCCAGCTAGGAACTGAGACTTCAACAAGCATGCAGGGAAAAGGTAGGACCGATCTTGTTGAAATGAGCTTCCAATTGCAACTGATCCAGGGTTGGGAAATGCCCAAACTCTATATATTTGTCCATCCCATAGCAGGTTGAACTGAGCTGACAGTTGCCTGTAAGCAGGAACACAAATGTGGAGGCCCGGTTTCTTCTTGCCTGACGGGGAGCTCTGCTGAACTCCGTTCGCCTCCTGAGCCATCTAAAGCCTACTCTGCATCATGAGGCATAATCAAATGACCATTAAAGGCTGCCTTGCCCACCAAACCATTCTCCCGGACTGTGCCTGTCCACTCTACATCCGCCCTCCCCCCATCCCAAAACCCGACATTCCACCCCCCGCCATCTGGCAAGAGTGGTCGGAAGTGTTTGCAGCGCTAAAGATTTCTGTCCTCGGCAAACGGGGAGAAGAACATCAGCCAAGAGGGCAAAAGATGGAGGATAGGGGTGATTGGAAAAGACAGGTTAAATGCTACGGTGTGGTCAGGTGGATATAATGCCAAGCACCTGATGTTAGTATCCCACTGGTAAGTCTTTGGTCTTTGGATAGCAGCGATGCCGCATCTAAACATCCTTGAAATGGGATGGCCCGATCTCCTTGAAATCCCTTGGTTATCCTCCAGACTCTATCAACTAGCAACCCAGGCCATACAGACTCTACCATCTCCGTCCACCGTTTGCTCAGACAGCCAAGCACTATATACAAAAACCACCGGTTTTGGGACACCAAACAGCCAAGCGACTGCATTTTCTTCAACTCCTCCCGCAATTCCTCTATGAGCTCTTTCAAGTCCTCCTGCTCGTCATCCCCCTGACAATGCGAAGTGACAGTGGGTGCTGGAGAGCCCTTCGTACATTGCAGCTGCAAATGGAGAAAATGTAAGGAACAAAAATCCTGGGATCGGGAGAGATGGCGTTGCACTTTACAAGGTCTTATATCCAGAGTCTATGGTGGTGTTAAGGCCATTTGCCACAGCACGGTCCGTCCAATTCCTGTCCAGCTCAGCAACTATATATTATCAACAAACTGTCCGAGGGCCATTTGATGGGCTCGAACAGTTTTAAAATGTTATAAGGTGTAAAACAAGGTCACAGCCGTTGTGAGGGTGTCACGTATGGTCGTTGCCGCGTCCACAGAGGCGTGACGTTGTTTAGACCAGAACGTTAGTAGCACACAAACATCGATGTGTATTTACTATATATTTACCGGAGTTTCATTCCTTATGTGTCAATCCCTACAGTGCTCCAAGTACCTCCTCAGAAGGTATTTGGACCTTCCAAACCCACCCCAAACACCTTAGAAGGTGCTTGGAGGTGTAGGGAATTAGACAGCCCCTGCCAGCAACCTGGCTGAGCGGAAACCGGGGTCCATCCCTCTTCCCACGCGTCGCAGCTGTTAACATACAAGTGGAATCTCGCCATATTCAAGTTTTTGCTGGATCAAGTGTCTTCAAGTGACCCCAAACCCCAGCATGGTTGATCATTGTTGACCAATCCCCGTTCTGTTCTTTTGTGCCTCTCGTGCAACCCGCGCAAAACATCTTTGGTCAGAACATGTTTGCCCCATGTTATAGCAGGTCAGTGGAGTAGCAAGTCGAGGAAAAAAACAAAAACACGTAACAGTGAAACACTGTGTTGCTATGGGGTCCTTAATAACGCCGTCCGCTAAAACAACGTCACAACTTTGTCAGAATAGAGTAGTGAACCCTTGGGAACTCGTTGCCTGTAGTAGCCTCAAAATTTACTGTAGTGAATTCGAGCAAATCCTATCCGATCATGATTATCATATGAATTTCATTGTATTTCTAGCTAGCTAGCAAAGGGGTATAAAAAAAGAAACATGAAGGAAACACACGCATACTAAAACATATGATCGTGTCTCAGCCTCGCCACCATGACCCAAAGATCGTCTCTCACCGCTTCAAGATCGCCGCACCTTCTTGGAGGCCTCCCGCGCTGCCTTCGCTTGCTGAGCAAGGAGCAAGACCATATCCTCCGCCGAAACCGGTGAAGCAACGACCCACCGCGATCCCGGACCTCCGCAAAGCCACGCATCAGCAGCAGTATACTGCAGTTCACGGTGGGAAAGGCGTAATATATATATATATATGTGTGTGGTGCTCGTTGTCATCGCTGTTGCCACTTTGGTCGTTGCTGTGGTACAATGTGAAACCGGTAATAACTAGGGATTCAAACCTGATTTGCTGTGAATCTAGGGGATAGACACCAGCCCCACCACACCCCTCCAGAAATAGAAACGCTTCCACTTGCGGGAGCCTCAGTCTGTAGAAACGCCGCGAATCATATGATATGTATATATATATATGTGTATTATTAAATATGCATGGATATGTGCGTATGTTTACAGAGAGACATCCAACCGATGGTTTTGGGTCTATGTTCCTTCTTCCCTATAGTTCAATATACACCCATATGCAAGCAATCAAGCAATTACAGTATTACAGTATATATCCAATAGGAATTGTCCGTTGAGGTCAGTAGTCTCTGCACTGCCACACGTTGCACCCTGTTCGTCGCATCCGTCCTCCATCTGAGAGGTCTTCGCCTTGACCTGCAGCAGGTCCCGTGCCGTGCCGAGCTGGTCCCGAGAAGAACGGTGTCACCCGTGCCGCGCGATGGGCGGAAGATCGCACTTGGCGGGGGTGGGGGATTCTCACACTTCCGAACTGCCCAGACGCGACCCTGGGCCCGAAGCTATGGTCGGACCCTCAAGTGGATGGGACCCGAATCCTCGGGATGGGTCTGGCGTCTCAATTCCCTCGGTTTTGAGGGACCAAGGGCTGTTTGGAGCGTCTGGGTGTATACACTCAGCTCCCCTATATCAATCATTGTAATCATCAAGCACAGCAACATTGGAAAGCCATGGTTTCCACTCGAGGCTTTGCCTTAGAAGTCCCACTCGGCTGGGCGAGCAGCTTCAAGATCCCGTCCTGGCGTGGTTTGGACGCGCGGGCGTTGGAACGTGATGAGGAGGGTGATCATGGCAAGCATTGGACCAAAAATCCCTCCTCCCAGTTTGTCTAAATATAAGATCATAATATAAATTAATGGATGGTTTGTAGTTGGGGGGTGGAGATCCCCAAAAAACATCCCAAACCCATGAAGACAACACCGTGATACACCGTGTTTGTTCTCCTTATTCATAAATTCAGCACTTGTCATGAGATGTCATGAGGATATGTATATCTATGTCCTAATCCACAATATAGGTACAACACGCTCTGCTGACCTCAGCGCATCTTCACATCTTCAACTCTGCCTGCTGGGAGAGCTTGCTGCTCATGGCGGTGGCCAAAATGGCCAGTGAGATCCATCGGAACATCCTGCCGGACTCGACGTCCGAGCTCCGACGCCGTTCTCGGTGGTTTCGGTGATGTTCCGGAAGATTGACCTCATACGTTGTCCCATAAAACAGCTGAAAAGGTACCCTCATGTAGTACCCTCATGTAGTTGTTCT